TTTTGGCCCCGCCCCTCAGGCCCCTGGGGGCGTAGGACTAAACCGGCAACTAGTTTTGTTGGCCTTTGTCCATGGAAGGTCCCTGCAAAATTTCATTGAAATTGGTTCAGGGGTTTTGGAGAAGAAGATTTTTGAAATTTTAGTCAATTTGACCCCTTTTGGCCCCGCCCCTCAGGCCCCTGGGGGCGTAGGACTAAACCGGCAACTATTTTTGTTGACCTTTGTCCATGGAAGGTCCCTGCAAAATTTCATTGAAATTGGTTCAGGGGTTTTGGAGAAGAAGTCGAAAAATGTAAATTGTTTACGGACGCACGACGGACGACGACGGACAAAAGGAGATCGCAATAGGTCACTTGAGACTTTGTCTCAGGTGACCTTAAAACAAGTGGCCCATGGGCCTTAATGGTCACCTGATATATTTATACAGAGAGTTGATTTTGTGTTTAACACGAACAGAAATATTATTCAGTGACGAAAACAATAAAACCACCTTATTCAATATCTAGCATACAGATTTAAGACTAAAAAGTATTTGAACCTTGCACCTCTGATTCTAGACAAGGAAAACTAGAACACTGACAGGTCAGTAAGGGCCCTGTCTTGTGGCAATATATCCCCCATAATCATCAAGAAGCAATCTGCCCATATAGCTGAGCTTGACGTCTGACATTTGGACTTCAAAAAGAATCGCAAGTTCATTTTACATGTACTATGATGCGAGTCTTGTTTCCTTCCACCTCCATATTTGCTGGGCTAACAGAAATGTAAATACCGGTGCAATACTCAATTGTTAGCTTTGATTTGTTTTATTTCACCTTATATACCACCTCCATCAAGAGCCAGGGTCAAAGTCAGAGATCCACTTTGTCTTTGACCTTTGAACCTAAATGACCTTGACCATGAACCCAGTGACCCTGAACTTTGGTCAGTTGACTTATTCTTTAATTCCGATCAACTTTGCTTCTTGATATCATAACAAAATGTTCATCAGTGAAAAATACAAAACTTGACCTTGACCCTTTGGACCCTGTAACCTGGACCTAATGTCAGTTGACTCTGTGTTAAGTTCTGAACAACATTGCTTCATAATGTCATAACAAAATGTTCATCAGGGAAAAGGTACAAAATTTAACCTTCACCTTTGACCCAATGACCTTGACCTTCAGTCAGTTGACTCCTTGTTTGTTTCTGATCAACTTTGCTCCATCATGTCATAACAAAATGTTCATCAGTGAAAAGATGCAAAATTTGACCTTGACCTTTGAATATAATGAACTTGACCCTTGGCCTCGACTTTTTACCTCGGCGTCTCTCTTTGTTTAATTCCGAACAACTTTGCTTCATAATGTCATAGCGAAATGTTCACCAGTGAAAAGCTACAAAATTTGACCTTGACCCCTGACCCGATGACCTTGACCTTTGGTCAGTTGACTCCTTGTTTTATTCTGATCAACTTTGCTTCATAATGTCATAACAAAATGTTCATCAGTGAAAAGATGTAAAATTTGACCTTGACCTTTGAACCTAATGACCTTGACCTTTGACCTTGACTTTTTACCTCAATGTGTATTTTTGTGAACTGAACATCTTGACCAAGTTTCATGTACATCGGTCAATAAATACCAAAGTTATCAGCCAGGAACAAAATTTGTGGACGGACAGACAGACAGACAGACAGACAGACAGACAGANTTATTCAATATCTAGCATACAGATTTAAGACTAAAAAGTATTTGAAACTAGCACCTCCAATTCTAAACAAGGCAAATGAAGAAATTTTAGCACACTGACTCCTTTGGGCCCCACCCTACAGCCCTTGGGGGTAGGGCTGGCTCAAAATTTTCAAAGTATCAAACTGTCAACTCAGGGTTATAATTCCAATCAAGTTATTAACATGTAATATTCAAAGTATCATTTGCCATTATAAACCATAATAAAATAAATTTTGCCCCCCCCCCCTCCTTCCCGAGGGGGTAAACGTGAGACCCTAGGATCATAAACCTTAAGACCCTTTCATCTATGAAGAGTGTTTGATTCTACCATATCTGGGTCTTTGAGAAGATTTTTTTTGAAATTTCAGTCAATTCAACCCTTTTTGGCCACACCCATCAGCTCTTAGGGGTCAGTCAGGGCTCATATGTGCCTACCATCAAACTGCTGTCCAATACTGATAATGCTAACCCAAATTGAATTACTTCCAATGAAAATTAAACAAATGTTGGTCCAAAATGTGATTTCCCTATATAAACTATAGTAAATGTTGGTCCAAAATGTGATTTCCCTATATAAACTATAGTAAAGTTTACCCCCTCCCCAGGGGTAAACATGAGACCCCAGAGTCATAAAATTCACAATTTTGGTAAAGCACCTTAAGACCCTTCCATCTATGAACAATCTAATTAAAATTATATCTTCACAATGAAATTTTAGTCAATTTGACCCTTTTTGGCCCACGCCCCTCAGGCCCCTGGGGGCCGGGGACCAAACCGGCAACTATTTTTGTTGACCTGTTGACCTTTAGCCATGGATGAATGGGGCTGCATATCAGCTAGTGTCCTTAAATTATAATGTTTGTAAACAAGTCCTACAGGAACATGGACCAGGACTGAATGCTGCCAAAGTGTTTTTGAAATTTTACATAATATGACTAAACGAGCAAAGGTTCCAAGCACGGAAAACTTACCATAGAATGAGCAGGTAGACAATCCTCATGGAAAACATGTCTACAGAAAAATACCACAGCATTACTGGCATAGCGGAGATCTGAAATAGAAAACATGTCTACAGAAAAATACCACAGCATTACTGGCATAACGGAGATCTGAAATAGAAAACATGTCTACAGAAAAATACCACAACATTACTGGCATAGCAGAGATCTGAAATAGAAAACATGTCTACAGAAAAATACCACAGCATTACTGGCATAGCGGAGATCTGAAATAGAAAACATGTCTACAGAAAAATACCACAGCATTACTGGCATAGCGGAGATCTGAAATAGAAAACATGTCTACAGAAAAATACCACAGCATTACTGGCATAGCGGAGATCTGAAATAGAAAACATGTCTACAGAAAAATACCACAGCATTACTGGCATAGCGGAGATCTGAAATAGAAAACATGTCTACAGAAAAATACCACAGCATTACTGGCATAGCGGAGATCTGAAATAGAAAACATGTCAACAGAAAAATATCACAGCATTACTGGCATAGCGGAGATCTGAAATAGAAAACATGTCTATAGAAAAATATCACAGCATTACTGGCGTAGCGGAGATCTGAAATAGAAAACATGTCTACAGAAAAATATCACAGCATTACTGGCATAGCGGAGATCTGAAATAGAAAACATGTCTATAGAAAAATATCACAGCATTACTGGCATAGCGGAGATCTGAAATAGAAAACATGTCTATAGAAAAATATCACAGCATTACTGGCGTAGCGGAGATCTGAAATAGAAAACATGTCTACAGAAAAATATCACAGCATTACTGGCATAGCGGAGATCTGAAATAGAAAACATGTCTATAGAAAAATATCACAGCATTACTGGCATAGCGGAGATCTGAAATAGAAAACATGTCTATAGAAAAATATCACAGCATTACTGGCGTAGCGGAGATCTGAAATAGAAAACATGTCTACAGAAAAATACCACAGCATTACTGGCATAGCAGAGATCTGAAATAGAAAACATGTCTATAGAAAAATATCACAGCATTACTGGCATAGCGGAGATCTGAAATTGAAAACATGTCTATAGAAAAATATCACAGCATTACTGGCGTAGCGGAGATCTGAAATAGAAAACATGTCTACAGAAAAATACCACAGCATTACTGGCATAGCAGAGATCTGAAATAGAAAACATGTCTATAGAAAAATATCACAGCATTACTGGCATAGCGGAGATCTGAAATTGAAAACATGTCTATAGAAAAATATCACAGCATTACTGGCGTAGCGGAGATCTGAAATAGAAAACATGTCTACAGAAAAATACCACAGCATTACTGGCATAGCGGAGATCTGAAATGGAAGTTGTTATACTTATTCTACAACAGGAAACACATTAACTAGAGCTAAATAAAGTATATTAAGAAAATTTCTATCTGACCAGATGCAGAACAGTTTGAAAATATTAATACCTGAATTTTAAAAAGTTAATAAATATTGAAACTTCCACTCACCTGACACTATAACAGCCTGCTGACAAGTATGGCAGGTCTGGATACCTGTAAGTAATCAAAAGTGTATCATAACTCTACCACAACAATTCTATCTGTTATAACTCTACCACAACAATTCTATCGATTATAACTCTACCACAACAATTCTATCTGTTGTAAGTTAACTCTACCACAACAATTCTATCTGTTGTAAGTTAACTCTACCACAACAATTCTATCTGTTATAAGTTAACTCTACCACAACAATTCTATCTGTTATAAGTTAACTCTACCACAACAATTCTATCTGTTATAAGTTAACTCTACCACAACAATTCTATCTGTTATAAGTTAACTCTACCACAACAATTCTATCTGTTATAAGTTAACTCTACCACAACAATTCTATCTGTTATAAGTTAACTCTACCACAACAATTCTATCTGTTATAAGTTAACTCTACCACAACAATTCTATCTGTTATAAGTTAACTCTACCACAACAATTCTATCTGTTATAAGTTAACTCTACCACAACAATTCTATCTGTTATAAGTTAACTCTACCACAACAATTCTATCTGTTATAAGTTAACTCTACCACAACAATTCTATCTGTTATACATTAACTCTACCACAACAATTCTATCTGTTATAAGTTAACTCTACCACAACAATTGTATATGTTATAAGTTAACTCTACCACAACAATAATATCTGTTATAACTCTACCACAACAATTTTATCTGTTATAAGTTAACTCTACTACAACAATTCTATCTGTTGTAAGTTAACTCTACCACAACAATTGTATATGTTATAAGTTAACTCTACCACCACAATAGTATCTGTTATAACTCTACCACAACAATTTTATCTGTTATAAGTTAACTCTACTACAACAATTCTATCTGTTATAAGTTAACTCTACCCCAACAATTCTATCTGTTATACATTAACTCTACCACAACAATCCTATCTGTTATAACTTAACTCTACCACAACAATTGTATATGTTATAAGTTAACTCTACCGCAACAATAATATCTGTTATAACTCTACCGCAACAATTCTGTCAGTTATAAGTTAACTCTACCACAACAATTCTATCTGTTGTAAGTTAACTCTACCACAACAATTGTATATGTTATAAGTTAACTCTACCACAACAATAATATCTGTTATAACTCTACCGCAACAATTCTGTCAGTTATAAGTTAACTCTACCACAACAATTCTATCTGTTATAACTCTACCACAACAATTATATCTGTTATAAGTTAACTCTACCACAGCAATTCTATCTGTTATAAGTCTACCACAACAATTCTATCTGTTAAAAGTTAACTCTACCACAACAATTCTATCTGTTATAACTCTACCACAACAATTCTATCTGTTATAACTCTACCACAACTATTCTATCTGTTATAACTCTACCACAACAATTCTATCTGTTATAACTCTACCACAACAATTCTATCTGTTATAACTCTACCACAACAATTCTATCTGTTATAACTCTACCACAACAATTCTATCTGTTATAACTCTACCACAACAATTCTATCTGTTATTAGTTAACTCTATCACAACAATTGTATATGTTATAAGTTAACTTTACCACAACAATTCTATCTGTTATAACTCTACCACAACAATTCTATCTGTTATAACTCTACCACAACAATTCTATCTGTTATAACTCTACCACAACAATTCTATCTGTTATAACTCTACCACAACAATTCTGTCTGTTATACGTTAACTCTACCACAACAATTCTATCTGTTATACATTAACTCTACCACAACAATTCTATCTGTTATAAGTTAACTCTACCACAGCAATTCTATCTGTTATAAGTCTACCACAACAATTCTATCTGTTATAAGTTAACTCTACCACAACAATTGTATATGTTATAAGTTAACTCTACCACAACAATTCTATCTGTTATAACTCTACCACAACAATTCTATCTGTTATATCTCTACCACAACAATTCTATCTGTTATAACTCAACCACAACAATTCTATCTGTTATAAGTTAACTCTACCACAACAATTCTATCTGTTATAACTCTACCACAACAATTGTATCTGTTATAAGTTAACTCTACCACAACAATTCTATCTGTTATACATTAACTCTACCACAACAATTATATCTGTTGTAAGTTAACTCTACCACAACAATTATATCTGTTATAAGTTAACTCTACCACAACAATTCTATCTGCTATAAGTTAACTCTACCACAACAATTGTATATGTTATAAGTTAACTCAACCACAACAATAATATCTGTTATAACTCTACCACAACAATTCTGTCAGTTATAAGTTAACTTTACCACAACAATTCTATCTGTTATAACTCTACCACAACAATTCTATCTGTTATAAGTTAACTCTACCACAACAATTCTATCTGTTATAATTCTACCACAACAATTCTATCTGTTTTAACTCTACCACAACAAATCTATCTGTTATAAGTTAACTCTACCACAACAATTCTATCTGTTATAACTCTACCACAACAATTGTATCTGTTATACGTTAACTCTACCGCAACAATTGTATCTGTTATAAGTTAACTCAATCACAACAATTGTATCTGGTATAACTCTACCACAACAATTGTATCTGTTATAAGTTAATTCTACCACAACAATTGTATCTGTTATAAGTTAACTCTACCACAACAATTGTATCTGTTATAAGTTAACTCTACCACAACAATTCTATCTGTTATACATTAACTCTACCACAACAATTCTATCTGTTATAAGTTAACTCTACCACAACAATTCTATCTGTTGTAAGTTAACTCTACCACAACAATTCTATCTGTTATACATTAACTCTACCACAACAATTCTATCTGTTATAAGTTAACTCTACCACAACAATTCTATCTGTTGTAAGTTAACTCTACTACAACAATTCTATCTGTTATCAGTTAACTCTACCACAACAATTCTATCTGTTATAACTCTACCACAACAATTGTATCTGTTGTAAGTTAACTCTACTACAACAATTCTATCTGTTATAAGTTAACTCTACCACAACAATTCTATCTGTTATAACTCTACCACAACAATTCTATCTGTTGTAAGTTAACTCTCCCACAACAATTCTATCTGTAATAAAATGTATCATTGATCTACCAAACATGTTTGTTAACAAAATGAGAACAATTTTGTTGTATCCCGAAGAATTCTTGACTTAACATTTACTAACATCTCCAGAGATAAATTGAAATCAGTATTTATTTCAGGTAAGTATTACTGAAGGCTGTATATGTACTGTCCTTTCATCAACAAGAACTTTAAATCAAAGAATTACATTATATACAGCAAAGGTGTAATTGAAAATATTTAACATATCATTTGTTTGTCATTTAAAATCTAAAGAACTTTTTTTTTACTTTTATTTTGTTGTGTATTTTAGATATTTATTCTTTTGTGTATCTATATATATATATAGCTAGAACATTTGCTGTTTACATTCCTCTTGACTTACTGCTGACAGAGATTCCACGTTTGTGAGTTTTCACGAGTCTGTCCATCAGATTGAAGCTGTCAGCTACCAGGATTCTTTTACATCCTTCTCTGAGGGACATCTGAACAGATACAACAACATCATACTGTTTTTTATAATTGGCCCAAGTTTCACAGTGTTCTTTAACTTTAAGAAATTTTTTAACTGGATTTTTTCTTCAGGAAAGCATAATGATCAGCATTTTCCATTAGAAAGCATTAACGGAGTAAAGGACAAAATCTTAGGCTGAGGAACTTTTCCTTCCATGGGGGACATCTGGACAGATTTAACATTACACAGTTAATTTATTCATCTAAATCTGTATATAACATACGAAAACACCACTATCTGGCTGGAACATCACAACAAGTATCAAATCACTTCCCTACAAAACAAGAGGCCCAATGGGCCTGCATCGCTCACGTGGTATTAATCTCACAATTGTAACTTTAAAAGAGGACTAAAATAAAGCTACAGGCAAAATATCAGTGTCTTGACTTAAAGTCATTCAGAAGAACCTGTTACAGGATTAAAACACACTTGAACCCTGTGACCTTGAAAGTCAAACATGGACATTAAGTTGAAAATAATGTATAGCCCTTTATCCCAGAATGCAACTTGCCAAATATCACCACCCTATATATATTTTTTATTGAGAAGATGACTTTTAAAGATTTATGCACTATGGACCAGATGTGACCATGAAAGTGCACGTGTGTCAAGGTCATTCACATCTACAAGCAATCACCATGTACACTTCAGTTATTCAGAAGAAGTCGTTTAAAGATTTCAACATATTTGAACCCTGTGACCTTGAATTTGGGCAAAGGTCATTCATTTTTGAACAAACTTTGTAGCCTTTATCTCTGCATGCTACTGACCAAATATCATCACCCTGAAGCTTTTGGTTATTCAGAAGAAGTTTTTTTTTAAATATCTTAACATATTTGACCCCTGTGACCTTGAATATGTGCGAAGGTCATTCATTTGAACAAACTTGTTAGCCCTTTATCCCTGCATGCTACTGGCCAAATATCAACACCCTAGGCCTCTTGGTTATTTAGAATAAGTTGTTTAAAAGTTTAAACATATTTGACCCCCCTGTGACCTTGATTATGGCTAAAGGTCATTCATTTGAACAAACTTGGTAGCCCTTCATCCCAGCATGCTACTGGCCAAATAATATCAGCCTGGGTCTTTTGGTTATTCAGAAGAAGTTGTTTAAAGTAAAAAGTTGACAACGGACTGACGACGGACGCTGCACCATGGCATAAGCTCACTTGGCCCTGGGAGCCAGGTGAGCTAAAAACTCTGTAAAATACCATCTGTCTCACTTAACATTGCCTTTCTCCAGACAAGAATTTTATCCTGTAGTTATAACCCAGCAGTATCTTGATGAGGGAATCCCTCTGACTTGAGATTTTACCTGTAAGTTATATAATCCAAGTTTTTTAACAAGAGAGTCCCTCAAACTCAAAAGAATACCTGTAGTTATAATCCTGCAGTATTTTGATTAGGGAATCCCTCAGACTTGAGATTTTACCTGTAATTTGTAATCCTGTAGTATTTTGATTAGGGAATCTTTCATACCTGAGATTTTACCTGTAAGTTATAATCCTGCAGTATTTTGATTACGGAATCCCTCAGACTTGAGATTTTACCTGTAAGTTATAATCCTGTAGTATTTTGACGAGCGAATCCCTCAAACCTGGAATGTGCATGCCCTCCTGTATTTTTGCGATGAGGATTATAGGGTCCACGTGGGTCCCTATGTTCTGTAGTAGGCCTTTAATAAAACCTAGTAAAGAGATAAAACAGTTAGTTCATACTTACACATAATATATAAAGATAGAAAGGTGTTGCAAACAAGCCCATGTATGACATAGCCATCAGGCTGACATGAATTCTACTGATATTGAAGTCAGGCAATTTCATGACTGTGAGATAGACATGCTTTCTTATGTCAGTGAGAATTTCCCCTTGAAACTTTAGAGTCAGTACAGAGATGGAGTCAGTGATTTTGTGTTTCAGTGTTTTAGTCTTAAGATCAGTGTCTCTATTACTACTAGAAGCTAGTCTTTGAGCTCGAGGGTGACAAGTCGAGTTGATCATTTCACCGAGATAAATTACAGCATAATACTCAAGATACATACGAGAATACTATCTCAGTGAGTTAGTGTACTTATAAGTAAATATGCATACTTACTAGGCTTGTCTTTACTTACCAGGCTTGTCTATACTTACTAGGTCTGTCTATACTTACTAGGTATGTCTATACTTACTAGGTCTGTCTATACTTACTAGGCTTGTCTTTACTTTCCAGGCTTGTCTATACTTACTAGGATTGTCTATACTTACTAGGCTTGTTTATACTTACTAGGTCTGTCTATAATTACTAGGTATGTCTATACTTACTAGGGATGTCTATACTTACTAGGCTTGTTTATACTTACTAGGTCTGTCTATAATTACTAGGTATGTCTATACTTACTAGGGATGTCTATACTTACTAGGCTTGTCTTTACTTACCAGGCTTGTTTATACTTACTAGGTCTGTCTATAATTACTAGGTATGTCTATACTTACTAGGGATGTCTATACTTACTAGGCTTGTTTATACTTACTAGGTCTGTCTATAATTACTAGGTATGTCTATACTTACTAGGCTTGTCTACACTGACTAGGTCTGTCGATACTGTCTATACTTACTAGGCTTGTCTTTACTTACTAGGCCTGTCTATACTGTCTATACTTCCTAGGTTTGTCTATACTTACTAGGCTTGTTTATACTTACTAGGTCTGTCTATAATTACTAGGTATGTCTATACTTACTAGGCCTGTCTATATTGTCTATACTTACTAGGTTTGTCTATACTTACTAGGCTTGTCTTTACTTTCCAGGCTTGTCTATACTTACTAGGACTGTCTATACTGTCTATACTTACTAGCTTTGTCTATACTTACTAGGCTTGTCTTTACTTTCCAGGCTTGTCTATACTTACTAGGATTGTCTATACTTACTAGGCTTGTTTATACTTACTAGGTCTGTCTATACTGTCTATACTTACTAGGCTTGTCTTTACTTACTAGGCCTGTCTATACTGTCTATACTTGCTAGGTTTGTCTATACTTACTAGGCTTGTTTATACTTACTAGGTCTGTCTATACTTACTAGGCTTTTCTATACTTACAAGGTCTGTCTATACTTACTAGGCTTTTCTATACTTACAAGGTCTGTCTATACTTACTAGGCTTTTCTATACTTACAAGGTCTGTCTATACTTACTAGGCTTTTCTATACTTACAAGGTCTGTCTATACTTACTAGGCCTGTCTATACTGTCTATACTTCCTAGGTTTGTCTATACTTACTAGGCTTGTTTATACTTACTAGGTCTGTCTATACTGTCTATACTTACTAGGCTTGTCTATACTTACTAGGCCTGTCTATACTAACCAGGCTTGTCTATACTTACTAGGTTTGTCTATACTTACTAGGCTTGTCTATACTTACTAGGCTTGTCTATCCTTACTAGGCTTGTCTATACTTACTNTCTGTCTTTACTTACCAGGCTTGTCTATACTTACTAGGTATGTCTATACTTACTAGGTATGTCTATACTTACTAGGCTTGTCTATACTTACTAGGGCTGTCTATACTTACTAGGTCTGTCTTACTAGGCTTGTCTATACTTACTAGGCTTTTCTATACTTGCTAGGCTTGTCTATACTTACTAGGCTTTTCTATACTTACTAGGCTTGTCTTTACTTACTAGGCTTGTCTATACTTGCTAGGCTTGTCTATACTTACTAGGGGTGTCTATACTTACTAGGCTTGTCTATACTTACTAGGCTTGTCTATACTTACTAGGGCTGTCTATACTTACTAGGTCTGTCTTACTAGGCTTGTCTATACTTACTAGGCTTTTCTATACTTACTAGGCTTGTCTTTACTTACTAGGCTTGTCTATACTTGCTAGGCTTGTCTTTACTTACTAGGCTTGTCTATACTTGCTAGGCTTGTCTTTACTTACTAGGCTTGTCTATACTTGCTAGGCTTGTCTTTACTTACTAGGCTTGTCTATACTTGCTAGGCTTGTCTTTACTTACTAGGCTTGTCTATACTTACTAGGCCTGTCTATACTAACCAGGCTTGTCTATACTTACTAGGTTTGTCTATACTTACTAGGCTTGTCTTTACTTACTAGGCTTGTCTTTACTTATTAGGCTTGTCTATACTTACTAGGCTTGTCTATACTTGCTAGGCTTGTCTATACTTACTAGGCTTGTCTAACTAGGTATGTCTATACTTACTAGGCTTGTCTATACTTACTAGGTCTATCTATACTTACTAGGTCTGTCTATACTTACTAGGTTTGTCTTTACTTACTAGGCTTGTCTATACTTACTAGGGCTGTCTATACTTACTAGGTCTGTCTTACTAGGCTTGTCTATACTTACTAGGCTTTTCTATACTTACTAGGCTTGTCTTTACTTACTAGGCTTGTCTTTACTTATTAGGCTTGTCTATACTTACTAGGCTTGTCTATACTTACTAGGGCTGTCTATACTTACTAGGTCTGTCTTACTAGGCTTGTCTTTACTTACTAGGCTTGTCTATACTTGCTAGGCTTGTCTATACTTACTAGGGGTGTCTATACTTACTAGGCTTGTCTATACTTACTAGGGCTGTCTATACTTACTAGGTCTGTCTTACTAGGCTTGTCTTTACTTACTAGGCTTGTCTATACTTACTAGGTATGTCTATACTTACTAGGCTTGTCTATTCTTACTAGGTCTGTCTTTACTTACCAGGCTTGTCTATACTTACTAGGTATGTCTATACTTACTAGGCTTGTCTATTCTTACTAGGCTTGTCTATACTTACTAGGCCTGTCTTTACTTATTAGGTCTGTCTATACTTACTAGGTTTGTCTATACTTACTAGGCTTGTCTATCCTTACTAGGCTTGTCTATACTTACTAGGTCTGTCTTTACTTACCAGGCTTGTCTATACTTACTAGGTCTGTCTATACTTACTAGGCTTGTCTATACTTACTAGGTCTATCTATACTTACTAGGTCTGTCTATACTTACTAGGTCTGTCTTACTAGGCTTGTCTATACTTACTAGGCTTGTCTTTACTTACTAGGCTTGTCTTTACTTATTAGGCTTGTCTATACTTACTAGGCTTGTCTATACTGTACTGTATCAAATCTTCCCACAGTTCCTGTTCATTCTGATCTTTACAGAACTCAATGGCTTGGTTCACATCTTGAAGTCTTGATGTGATCAATTCTAATGCCTGCTTAATGTTACCCATCCGACCTGGAGTGGAAAACAACACACAGACCATGAATATGATTAAAACAATTTCTATCACTTCTGTCTGGACTGAGAAATCTCGGGGTTTAAATTGTTCTCTCTATATCCCAAAGAAATATCTTTATCCCACAGGAGGAATGTCTATATCCCACAGGAATGTCTGTATCCCATAGGATTGTCTATATCCCACAGAAATGTCTATATATCACAGGAATGTCTATATCTCACGGGCATGTCTATATCTCACAGGAATGTCTATATCCCACAGGAATGTCTAAATCCCACAGGAATGTCTAAATCTCACAGGGATGTCTATATCTCACAGGAATGTCTAAATCCCACAGGAATGTCTATATCCCACAGGCATGTCTATATCCCACAGGCATGTCTATATCTCACAGGAATGTCTATATCCCACGGGCATGTCTATATCCCACAGGAATGTCTATATCCCACAGGAATGTCTAAATCCAACAGGAATGTCTATATCCCACAGGAATGTCCATATCTCACAGGAATGTCTATATCCAACAGGAATGTCTATATCCA